CAGGCCAGGCTGGAGGAGGCCGCTGGCCCTGGCCAGGCCAGAGGAGCGTAGGGACGGGCACCCCGGGCAGGGTTTGCCCCTCAGGACCCAGGGGCGGTTTGGTGGCCTTTTTGTCCTGGGAGTCCCTCGGGTCTCTTCAGCCACCTCTGCTCAGATGGGCTGCTCAAGCATGCTGCTGCTCTGTTGGGCCTCTGCTCTTGGAGGGGAGGGCTGGAACAACACAGCTTATTCTTCCTCCTGCAAAATCTGGGCTGAAGCATTAGGTGACAACCCAAGGGGATCCTAACTCTTCGTTCATGGTCCTGAGATGTTATGATTTGTATCGCATCCTCCTGGTCCCTGGCATTCCCACAGCAACCCGGGCATGTGGGAAAAGTCCAGGATTTAGGTGTTTGGGGGCAGAAAGCTGGAGAATCCAGCAGGATAGAAAATTGTGACATTCAGTTAAAGAGGGCCAATGGACCCATCCCTGGGAAATTAAAACACCTTGGGCTGCTCTTGCCCTATCGCAAGCAGTGACAGAAAAAAGGTAGACAAAAACTTTACAGAACAATGCCAGTACCTTTTTCTGAGACAAATAAGCACAGTAATACTTGGACTGTGCCTTTACCATAACCCACTGGCACTGGGTGCGACTGTCGGTAGGGACAAGAGGACCAGAGTGTCTCCCTGGCCAGGTGTTTTGGGGAACACCCACAGGTGTTCCCTGCCCAGGAGACAGCACCTTGCCCAGTGCCCGAGGAATGTCCCCCAGCTCCCGGGGTGACCCGCCAGCTCCGAAAATGTAAAGGTCACTCCTGGGCCTGGAAAACAATGGCTGGAGATAGGGGCTATCGGAGCCGGTTGTGGCCACTGCCTAAGGAGTGTTAGTCAAACAGCAGGCTGAAAAGGCTCACGGGTAGCAATTTAAATATTCCTTCATACAAAAGGCTGTCGCATCCTAGCAGAGGCAGGCTGCTGACTGACAGCTTTAGTGCACGAGTGTATGTGGATAAGGGAGAGGCTGAATGGGGGGGAATATCCTGGAGACTTGCTTCCCCCCACCTTTATTCTGGGTCCTAACATGTCATTTTTCACAAGCTGCAAGTTTACTGTGGTAACATACCTGGGAAGTTTTAGCACATCCTGTATTTTTAATTTTCCCTCTCAGGTATGTTTTGTTTAGAGGTCAGATGTCCACTAAAGTCATTTACCAATAAAATTAAGTCAATGCCTCCCAAATACTAGCTGCTTACCAAGTGAATTCACTCAGTAATTGCTATTTATATAGCGTGATTACTATGTATACAACAATAATATCATTCTCTCCAAAGGATGGCAAGCAGTAACTGCAGTTTTTGTATTAACTTGTCATTAAGCAGGGTAGTCATCTAGAGGCCAGAACAGAGATTCTTGAGACTTTTCCTAGCTCTGAGGCAGGGACGCTATGTCAGGCTTTGGCTGCCCATCGCCCTTTCCTTGCCTTGAGTTTCCATGTATAATAGATACCTTTAAATACATTCTTTGCAGGGCACATGTCAGGCTTCCACTCGTGAAGCACTTTGGATATTGCACAAGAGGTAAATAAGAGCGGTGTTGATAATGAAAATATGCCATTAATACTTTTCCAATAAAAAACTACAAGCGGCATTTAATCTGCAATCTGTTATCAATAATTTTATTACCACAGTTACTGTGGTCTAATAAAAAAGCACTTTCTCTTCTTTATTGGGTAAGTGCCAAAACGTTTATCCTTTATTCTCTGGCCATTAACCTTTATTCTGTAGCCATTATCTTAGCCATTTGTGTAACAGTCTGTTGAGTAACATTCAAGTAGGAATTTGTATTCAATCCATTATTTACTCTGAAACCAAAATAGAATAGCTTCTTATGCCTATGTTATTTATCCGTATTAAATCTTATTAACTGCTGTACGCCACTGATGATGACTCTTATAAGAAATGGATTTTTCTTACAGTGAATTATTTTCTGGCATATAAATACAACTGTAGTTAACCTAGTAATATTTTGAAAACAAAGCTTGAAATTACTAGCTGAAAAACAGGTATTTCTCACAACATGTGTGAAATTCATAATAACTACATTTCAGAAGTTCATCCTCTGTGTATCAGTTCCTGCATCACACCTTTACATGAACACCATCATGCTGAAATAAGCCACGATACTCTCCACCCCTCCATCAAGGGCTGAGGTTTTGGGTCATGAGGTCCATCCTTTCTTTCCCTCTTACTGGAGCGGGGCAGGGGGAACCCAAAGACAAATAAGTTAAACAACCAAAATGCCTGTTTTTCTTTGAGGCATTTGCTTGCTAGCTTTCAGCCATTTCTGGCTATCCATCTGAAACTGCTACTTCTCTGTGTAAGTGGCTTTTAGGGCCACGCTGTCTGAGCACATCTTTTAAATGAACTCGCCAGCCGTAGTGAGTGGAAAGCAAAGCAGGAGAATGAAACTGTTGATTCCTGCCCATCAGCTGAATGTGGGAGAAATCACGGGTTTCTTATTAGGCTGTAGTATCTCAACCTCACTGAACCCTATTTTTCTGTTTCCATTAGTCTTCTGGCTGGAGAGTGACATTCGGTAAAAGCCTTTCAAGGTCTTCCCATAAACTCCTGCAATGAAGAGGTAGTAGTAGCAGTATTTTTAATGATGGGGAAGGTCGGCTTACCCAGTGTATGCTCTGCTGCTGTACATGTACTTGAGGCTGCTCGGGTCTTTTTGGTCCTGATCAGCCAGCAGTAAATTTTAAGGAATTAGCTTGATGGTTGGAATTTTTTTCTCTCCTTTCTGCTCATTAGGAACTGGAAGCTGCTCTTCACAGGGATGATGTGGAGTTTATCAGCGACTTGATTGCCTGCCTTCTTCAAGGTTGCTATCAGCGCAGAGACATCACGTGAGTAACCTCGCTCTATGGCTTAAGCGCTTTGCAAGGGGAGCTAATTAACACAGTCGCAGGGATGTTTCACGGCTTTAGAGTGATGACATGGCAGTGATCGGCAGCCACCAGCAATCAGGCCAGATGCTTCACCGAGTGGAAGGGAATTCCAGCTCTTCCCGGGTTGAGTTGTAGGTTTTTAATTTGAGAGACCCGTTGTTAAGCAAACTTCTTTGTTCAGATCCCATGCAAATCTGTTTGATGCTCTGCTGTAGCACTAGCACGTACAGTGAACATTCACATCTGCTGTTACACTCTGCACTCTATTTGATCAAATTAGTGATATCACAGTAAGTCTTAAGTGATCATATATGTTTTCAACATTTTATCTGTATTGCATAGAATAAAACTTGCTGTTCTGCAGCCACCTTACTTGCATGGAAGATCCCATTGCTTTAGAGAGGGGCAATTGTAATTATTTTCTTGGAAATAAGAGGAGTATTGGAATCAGTTTGGTTGCAGGATGTTGGAAAGTGATTTGACACATTCTCATGATGTTTTGACATCCGGAGACACTTTTGTTAGTGTCCACCAAAGTAGACTTCCAAAATGAGACATCTGTAGAACATCATTCTTTAGAGGATCACCACTCATGCAGTGAAATGTGCTTCCAGTGATAACGAAGGCTTGTTGCAGTGTGTCTTATTTGCTCTTCTGTGAATCACGCTAACAGCAAAGTGTAATTGTGGAGACAAAGACAGCTTGGCAACACTTGTTGTTGCTTAGAAGAAGTGCTAAGTGATCCTGCTCTCTAAGATTCCCCTGTTGTGCAGAGGCTTAGGCTGGCGCATAGGCACAACCATAGGTACTTGCACTGAAAGCTCTATTCCTAATTAACTGATTATGTTAAACAAAATTTATGTAGTTTATGTTTTTGTATATATCTGCCACTTAAGAAAGTTCTCTTGCATTGCTGGGTTGCCATTCGGTGTAAGTGGGTATCAGGATCTGAACCAGGCAGCTGCGCTGCATTCACTGTCTCTGAATGAAACTGATCTGATGAGAAGCTTGGTTGTAGAGGGTCTGCAATCGTGCATACTTCCTTCATCAAAATAGCCACAGAGCAATATAATCTTGCTTATAAACATGCAGCAAGTTTATTTCTTCACACCAGAAAGTAGCAGTTTAAGTGTTTTGCCCACCTTAATCAGCTCAGCCTTGTAGAAGCAGTGGAAGATTTGTCTTTGATAAGTTTGATAAATTCAGCAGTCTGAAGATCTCCTCAACTCTCCAGATCTAAGAGTGTCCACTTAGGAGTTGCACCATCTAATTGCCTCCTCTTTCTCGATGTTTTAACTAACAAAAGTCAGGGATGAATCATGGGTGAGTCGTTAGGCATTGGCAAGTTGTCTGTCTGTCTGGGGAATGTTACACACACATATACACTCATGCAGTTACTTGTCTCACCTAGCAGCGCAGCAGTGTGTAGTTACTCCATATTGCATGTAGGTCCCACTTTGTGCCTGTGTAAATACAGCCTTGGTTAATTCTGAGATGCAAAAGCTGCGAGGAGCTAATGTCATCGCAGAAGAAGAGCTGGTAACCCAACCATGGGTTTGTGCAGCCTACTCAGGGCGCGTGTGTGGCATCGGTAGGTACCTACATAGCTGTTGCTATGTGTCTGTCTGTGTACGAGAGGTGCCGTAGGAAACAGAGGAGTGCGAAATCACCTAGTGAAGTTGTGAGAACATTCACCTCACCCAAATGGTTGCGCTAGGGAAAGCATGAGGTGCATGAATGAGAAGCCAGCTGCACCCTTTCTACAGCACCTCCCGTAGAAGGTGACTACCTTGTGGGCAGGGGAATAGCGAGAGAAGTCTTTTCTGCAGAGGAGATAGGGAAAAGAACACAGCAGGAGCAGCATGTTGGAAATGGCTAAAGGAATATATCAGGAAAACTGCCTGGAGCTGCTGGGATGTTAGGGAGGTCGGCTCTGAAGCCCTGCAGAGGAAGTAATGGGGGAGTTTACCTGGAAACAGGGAGAAAGATGCTGTATGCAGAGGGATGTCATGAAGGAAGAAGCATTAAGATGTAGTCTAAACATGGAAAACTGTACATAAACATGAGTAAAAGTGATGGCTTGCATACACTTCTCAGGAACAAATTTTCCCCACTGTTTGTTTCACGCTTACAAACCAGCTATGGAATATTTATCCAAAATGAATATGTGTTTTTAAAACCTAAAATTCTTCTTGCCCCTTACACCTTTATTTCCAACACCTTCATTCCCTCTAACCTGAGTTCAAGGGGCCCCAGTTAATGGTAAGGAGTTGAGCCTCTAATTGATTTTTTGAGTGCTCAGCAGACAAAGGCGTGCAAATGTAAGAGGCATAATTTGTGTGGAGTTTAGATTTGGCTTTTCACAATGGGCCAGGACTCCATATTCCTCTGTTACAGACAGATAGTAGGTATCTGTCTCGCGTGGGAAAAATTAGCAGCTTCACAGACCATCACAGCGGCATTATAGCAGGATTTTCTCCAGTCATCTGTGCTCTGCATCCTTGTGCTGAGGCTGTGAGCTATTAATCTTTAGGCTGCAGACTTTGCTCCCTGTTGCACCTCAGAGGGGAAGGAAGGAGCTTGTTCTCATCCTTGTTCTCGGGCTGGAGCACTGTGGTTCAAGCACAAGATGCTTCATATAACTTCATATAAAACCTCGTTTACCTCTCCAAGGGGTTTTGAGGTCTAACTAGTTTTGGATTGTGTCTTGCCTCTTTGATGGCCAAAATGCTATCTGTCTATGCTTTCTCACAGTCTGTCTGGGAGCAGCTTGTAGTTCTTGTCACATCTGTTTTGATGGCGTGCAGAACTTGCAGTGGAGCTGGGCTGCCTGGCTTTAATCATGCATCATAGAGGGGTATAAAACTGTCACATACCTTTGCTAATTATAATGTGCTCTCAAGTAATTTTGGAAGTGGAACCTAGCTGAGAGCCCTTCTAATGCACAATTTAATGTACTCTAGTTTGATTTGCTGCTTATTCTTTGAAAAAAATGAGATTAATACTTTTGTAGGGTTCTGTGATTCTTGGTTTTGAAGTAGAGCAACTTTGCCTTGGTTTTGATGTTCTTTATGACAAACTTTTTTTAAAAAAGGGAATTACATACAAGAGAGACTGGTTTTTACCCTGCTTGATGGTTAAGGAGTGTTGAATATCTGGTAACTTAAGACTTTCTTTGAGTTACGGATATCTGTGTTTAACTACAGAGACTACTTAATGAGATGCCACATGATATTCTCCACATTCTTACTTATCATAACCTATCATAGCTGTTAGGAGCACTCTTCATTGACCTGGTTCTTGCTGTGTTAAATGCTGTATAGAAGTACAGAACAAAAAAAGACAGTAGTCTGCATTTCTGGCTTCTAGCATCTTTAGCAATGACCCAGTAGCTGTCCTTGCCTGGCACCAGGTGGTTTGAGCACTTGGCCAAGGACAGTTTCCCCGTTGCTCTCCTCGTTTTGCTTTGACCCAAAATACTTTTGTGCCATGACCTGCAGCTTTTGTTGTTTTATAAATAGCCTTCCTAGTATTCGTATACCACCCATAGCATCTAACTACTAACCACGTAATAACGAATATCCTCGAAGCTTTTTGTATTATCTCTCTGCTCAGTTTTATGCTATAGGCACCGTGTGGTTTGATGCCAGTGAGTTTACCCATACATTTTTCCTGCCTCTAGCTTTTGTGCACAGGCCTTGAAATGTCTGTCTTGTCTTTTAATTGTTTCAAAATGTGACTGCCTGGAAAGTGGGGAGTGACAAGGGTGAAAACTCATAATAGAATGTGGGGTTATACAAAAAAAATAAATAAAAATTAAGCAGTTTGAAAAAATACTGGTGCTTGCTTCAGATTCTCTCTGATATAAATTGGGCAGCTGCATAGTCCCTAGGGGCTGCCACTTTAATTCCAGCAGGAAATGCGACTTGATGACTTGTATCAAGACAGGAAGATCAGAGCTTCAGCTAACGGCAACAGCCGCAGCAGGAGCCTTCTGCAGCTGTTTTTAAGTAAGAAGTGATGGTGTGACATGGATGTGTACACTCAACTAAAATAATCCAGAAAAGCTCCCGCTGTTCAGCATTTCTTTGGGTGAAACTTGTTCTTTGCTGCTCTGTTATTGCATTTTTTGCTATTTTTCTAATGTGATGGCATAAAAAGTTTTAATGACTTTATCGTATTTCTCGTTGGGAGACATTTTGTATGCTGCTATTGTCTCTTGAAAAACATTTTAATTGCTTTTTCTTATAACATGTTTTATTTTTATTTTTTCAACGTGGACAAAGGCGCCAAAAAGTGAAGAGGAAGAAAAACAATATCTCTGCTCTTGCCTATGCCCATGAGATTTTTTTTTTTTTCTTATACCCCAGGAGGTTGGTCCGTCACTGCAGCTGAAAACTATCTAATTGACTTCTGTGGCACCACAGACGGCATTTGCTTCTTTAGGAACCTCAATTATTTTTTTCTTGTTATTTCTTCCCTTAATGCATTGGAATTTTTTTTTTCCCAAGTGGATCATCTGTTTTGCGTGCACCTTAATTTCTGTCTGGATCTGTAAACTAACCTTGGAGTCTTTGGCTTGTGGTTTGTGCCTGATTTGTTCTAATATGAAGGGCAAAGGAGTCCAGGAAGGCTGGACATTCTTCAAGAAGGAAATCTTAAAGGCGCAGGAGCAGACCACCCCCATAGGCAGAAAATTGAACTGGTGGGGAAGAAGACTGGTCTGGTTGAACAGAGAGCATTGGCTGGAACTCAGGAGAAAAAAGAGAGTTTACAACCTTTGGAAGAAGGGGCAGGCAACTCAGGAGGACTACAAGGATGTTGTGAGTTTATGCAGGGAGAAAATTAGAAGGTCCAAAGCCCAACTAAAACTTAATCTGGCTACTGCCATAAAAGACAATAAAAAATATTTCTTTATAGAAATGTATTTATATACATTAGTAACAAAAGGAGGGCTA